ATCCTGAGGATCACAGGCATGAGTCACAGGTGTGAGTCACTGGAGCCTGGCAGGAATTGTTTTAATATAGGAAATAATTCTAATCACTACTTTCTTAATTCCTGACTAGGTGTCATTCTGCCTATGTGAAAAAATACTAAATTCCCTCCTGTTTTCCAAATCTCATAGAAAGTCCTGTAATGACACAATCCTGCAGGAAACCAGAGAAGGAAAAGGGATTTCAAAAATTGGCTTCCACTAGCAATCATAATGATCATAATGATGGATTGAGATAGCTGACAGCCCAGGATGGTTCTTTTACCTAAACTCTCAAAATGTTCCCCCTAAGGCAAGGGACTAGAATTCACTTAAATTTGATTCAGTTTTGTCTAACAATCCGGCATTATGAAAAACAACTTTCATTAAGTCTTAGAGAAAACAATAAGAACCTGCAAATTGTGTGAAACATCACAAGTTGTTTGTGATGTCACACACCAAAAAACAGTTGAAAAAACTTTCCTAATTTAAAAAATAACAAAAGAATACCACAACACACAAAATGGAAAATAAATTATGTGGTTTGAAATTATTTTCCTGATGTGTGTCCATAACTCATCTGTAATTTTAGCTACTCAAGAGGTTGAGTTCTGAGGGTGATTGTTTGAAGCCAGCCTGAGTAGGAAATCCTGTGGGAAATTTCTTTCCAAGTAACTACCAGAAACCTAGAAGTAGAGCTTGGCTATAACAATAGAGCACCAGTCTTAAAATGAAGATCAGAGACAGCATCCAAGCCTGAGTTCATGTCCCAGTTCTCACATACTTATACTTGTATACATATATACTTATATTTATGTATACACTCATATATATATATATACTTATAAATATTATACATATTTCCCTGAAAATAGAAACATTTAAATTTGATCCAGTCTCTTGTATCTTTTCTTCCCCTTATTTCCTGGGCAACAGGAGTACTGTTTATAAATAATTAGCTTGCCCTTTTCTTCAAGGATTTCGCTATCATAGTTGCAAAGTATCACATCTCACATTCGTATCTTTGATACACTTTGGATTAATTTTTGTAATGGTAAGATTAGGGAAGTAGATTCCGTCTTCTATATGTACATTCCCAGTGAATTAATCACCAATTTTTGAACAGACTCTCTTTGCTCCAGTGTATGTTTGACTCTGGTAAAATTCAGATGGCTATATCTATGTGGGTTTATTCCTGGGTCTTATTTACTCTTCCTCTGGTCTACGTGTAGCCCAAGCTTGCCTGCAAATGATATTCTGGTGAAGTGAATCCTAGTGAAATGACTTTCCAGGTGTCCTTCTCTGAGTTTGTTGCATGGAGGAGATCTTTTCTCAAGGGAAAATTTTCCACATGAGTTCACACTTTTAAGAAGTTCCAACATTTTTATAGTTGTTTAGCCAATGCCTAAGATGCTCTCAGTGTATCTTTTCCACTACTCTGATATAAACCTTCACACCAATGGAGCAATCTATCCAATAGATCTCAAATTGTCATCCCGTCTTATCTCGATCAATCAAAGTAGTTGGGCTTGCAGTTATGAGCCACTACACCAACATAAAACCAGTATTTTTAATACTAAAGTATGAAGCATAATTTTATATAACATTGATATCCATTCTTTCCTTTCTCTGTTAGCATAGACCTTTCATGATTTATCTCTAGGAACATTCCAGAAAACTACTTCCATCTTCAGGTTGACCACAAGGCTCAGAAGTTTTTGCTCTTCTTGGGCCTTTGCTCTTCCCAAAAAGCTTTTCTGTTAAGGGTCTATTAAATATTATTACTTCCTTCTTCTGAACTGATGTCATAGTATCTTTTTAATAATTTAGTCATGTTCATGCCAGTGATATTTACAAGTTCTGCCCCTGGCAAAAATCACAAAATTCAGCTGGCACTACAATTTGAGCAGTCTTTGCTTCCTGAGTCCCACTGTGTAATCCTAATCTTGAAAACTCCAGTTCAAATGCAAGTCAAGGCTACTGCTACAATTGTTCCATAAAGAAAGAGATGGGTAAGACAGCCTTTAATGGAAGGGTGTAGTGTTGAAAACAAAGATATGTGTGTGATTCCCTTTGTCAGCACCATGACACAGTGAGAGGAGGAATGGTTTCTGTGACACAGAGCATGAGGCGGGATTGTAAGACGTGAGGCAGAGCCATCAGCCCATCAGTGTACCCTTCAGTGGCACTCAGAAGCCCCTCCTCTTTACCAAAATCACATCTTATAAATAGCATAGGGAACACACATCCTAATCCACCAACTACCTTGTGGCTATTCAACACTCAGAATTCATGGTGAACCTATATTTTTCTGGAACTGCTGTGAAATGTGTGAGAAGATGACTCATTTCAATTTCCTACTGAAGCTGTTCTTGAATTAGAATAGAACCAGCTTTGTGAATATTGAAGCAAAGATTCACAGTTTAGACACTGGTATGCCAAACTCAAAATCCTAGAGATTGCTATGTCACAAATTGGCCACCAGAGGGCAAGCCAATCTCACAATCAACAAAGCCTCAGAGTCCAGATCTTGAAAGATGTAGAAGAGTCAACAGGAACCTGAGATTGGCAGGCTCCCTGAACCAGTATCATGGTGCCCATGTGCCTGAGACACTACTCACACTGCCTTGGCTCTACATGTGTGTGTTTCTGAATATTTTCTACTTTATTTGATCTGTAATAAGCACACCCTGACAATGAAGCTCCTTTTCACTAGGATTCTGGGAATGGAGTGAGAACTCCAGTTCAATGATAGACCTGGATGTGTGAGAACAAGCGCTGTACTCTGAGGTGTGTCAAGCCATTTGTGCACAGTCAGCATGACTTGGCCTTGTGAATTTTCAGTAGGACTGAACACACTGAGGCCTGCCTTCTAAAAGGTTCAGGTGAGAGGTAATTGAGTGTATATAGAAGGAATTGGAGATGGAAGGAGTTTGAAATTTTAGTGCTATCACAGAACCTGTTTCTCAGAATCCTCATCAATGAACAAGATTCACAATAGACTTTAAAGGTACACACTTGATCGTTGATCAACATGTCCTCCTTATGTGGCTAAGGAGAAGACATGTTGGCTGAGAGGAGACTGTGGATGAGGGACATTTGCTGACTTTCCTTATGAGTGAGGAGAACAGCGGAGAACTCAGCCAGCCCCACAGAGCAGGCAAAACTCTGACTTTTGATGACTCTGTCTTTCCACCTGGTCATGGCCTTTTGGCTAGATTCAGTTCCAGTGAGTGGTGAGCATTTTCCTTCACTAATTCCAAGGTCACCCCAAGTCAGGGCTGTTGTTACCCCAGGTTCACAGCTCCATCACTCTGGAGGGTGACTGCTTCTTTTGTAGCCCAGAGCAAGAGTGTCAGACCTGGACAGAGATTCCTGATTCAAATCTCTGCAGGTTCTTCCAGTGCCTGGATCTGTAATTCAGCCTTCACATCTCCACAATCGCCGAAACCACATGAATAATTACAAAAAAGATTTCATAGTCAGCTGTTGGGCCTAACTTGTTCCAATCTCACCACAGTAAGATGTTCATGGCATCTGCATTCTTCATTCTACTTAGATGCTTTGTGATATGTCACTAACACTCTCAGAATTCGTAGACTCTGGGTGTGCATGATGAAGGCAAAGATTGCCTTGAAAGTAGGCTGAGTCTCCAGGGAAACAGCAGGATATGTTATCTGATTAATCAAAGTTCTATCCATGTTTTTATCGAGATCCAAGATGTTTCTTCAGGGACATATTTTGCCATGACATTCTTATTTCATATTGTTTTCCAAAAGTTACATGTTCAGATAATCAGTGGTAGACTTCTCTCAAAAATATTTTTTATATAATAAGGGTGATGAACAGGGTGGCTAGAGTTACATACGTAAGGTAATGATTACATATCTATTTAAACATTGTTATCCCATCTCTTTTATTCTCCTGTTTAACCCCTCCCCACATGTTCCCCCCACAAGTTGTAAAATTCATTTCCAACACAACGTCCAGGGATTATTATTGTTGCATTAGTTCATGCTTTGTCTAGTTATGTTCTGTATGCAGTTATTTCTATTTTTATCTTTTCTATTTCTTTTTCTGTTTTATTTTGCTGTACCCTTTGGCTTCTATATAAGTTTATCTGATCCATGGAAGGAAAAGGGATATATTCTCTCTCTCTCTCTCTCTCTCTCTCTCTCTCTCTCTCTCTCTCTCTCTCTCTGTCTTTCTCTCTCCCTTTCTCCCTCTCTCTCCTTCTCTTTCTCTCTCTCTCCTCTGTCTCTCTCTCCTCCCCACTCTCTCACTCTCTTTCCCCAAGAGATGCAATTTTTCTCCTAGAGATGCAAATATCTATACTGGTATGAGGGCAGGCATAATTTTTCCACTCATTAAGAAAGGATAAAGATAGAAGCATGTATAACTGGGTAGCAGTGACTTTTGCTGAAGTAATCAAACCCAGCTTCAAAACTTACAATTTCTTGCTGTTGAAGCGTGAGAGGTAGTAATAGCACAAAGGTGATAAAATATGAGAAGTGTCAGATTAGAATGTAATACTGTCTATTTACATACTGGGATTGAAGGCACCTAAAGTTTCAGCAGTCCCAAATTTGTGTTAGTCATTATTGAAAATCAGAGTAAAATTACTTTAAATTATATTGTAGTGGCATGACTAAAACTACCACAAAATACTTTTCAATACATTCCATATCTTTCATACTGTATCTTTAGTTAAAGAAATTAAACCAGACAGGTGAAAGTGGCTCATGCCTGTAATCCTAGCTGAAATAGTTTAGATAATAATATACCTAGACATTGTCTCATAGGTCAAGTAAAAATGTATCTGTTGAAATTTTTGTGTGAATGTCTTCTGACCAAATCTTGGCAAAGATTATGCTTGCTTGTCTTTAAATACCCACTAACAATAAAGCACAGCATGCAGTGGCAATTACTGTTTGCACGCTGCATCACCTGTGTCCTGGTAATTTCATGACCCTTACCCAAGGACCTCAACACACTAGACGTTGACAATTTTCCTTCTTTGCTTTAAAGCTACCATGGTGCAACTCAATAATAACAATGAAGAATGGCCGGGAGCTAGAAACTTTTAGGTAAATTAAGTCAGCAGCTGAGGAAAGATTGCAACCCATGGAATTCAGGCAGGGGAAAGGTTTATTTTGAGCTGCAGGCTGCCTCTGGTCACCTTGGAAGTCCACACAGCCAGAGAAAGGGGGTTGAACCACAGTTAGGTCAGGATCTATTAATTAAGGCCAGCGAAAGAAGATGACATGGCACACTGAATGAGGATGTGAACTCAGGGAGGGGAGGTGATGGCTGCCTCCAAGTGTGCCAGTTACCTAGGTGATGCAGGTAATGGGTGGAGACTTAGCCAAGGGGCAGGAGATGTCTGCTCTGCTTTCCGGGGCAGACCTTACAGGGACCAGTGGCTCACTCCTGTAATCCTAGCTATTCAGGAGGCTGAGATCTGAGGACTGAGATTTGAAGTTTGTCTGGGTAGGAAAGTCTGAGACTCCTATATCCAATTCAGCACCAACCAAAAGTGGAGCTGTGGCTCGAGTGGTAGAGTGCTAGCCTTGAGCACAAAAATCTAAGGTTAGCACCTAGGCCCTGAGTTCAAGCCCCAGGACAAGCACATTAAAAAAAAATCAGGAGGAGCTGGGAAGTTGGCTCAGTGGTAGAGCACTTGCCTTACATGCATAAGGCCCTGGGTTCGATTCCTCAGCACCACATAAGAAAAAAGCCAGAAGTGGCACTGTGGCTCAAGTGGTAGAGCACTAGCCTTGAGCTCAAGAGCTGAGGTTCAGTGCCCAGGCCCAGAGTTCATGCCCATGACTGGACCCCAAAAAAAAAATCAGGAAACCAATCCACCAGTAAACAACTTGATGATTTCTAACATAGCAATGGAGTGGTGACTAGATCGCTGTAACAATTGTTTTGCTGTGGTGTGCTACTTCTCTCATCATTTACTTCTGGAAGCTATTTTCACCAGTATTTCCTGTAGAGTTTCTGCATGAGGAGTTCTCACAAAGATGGAAAGTTGGAAGAGTGTGCTTTAGGGCTGGGAAGGTGGCTCAGTGCTGGCGTGCTTGCCTTGCATGCATGAGGCCCTGGGTTCGATTCCTCACCACCACAGAAGAAAAACCAAAAAAAACGGGAGTGACGCTGTGGCTCAAGTGGTAGATCACTAGACTTGAGGTGAAGAGCTAAGGGACAGTGCCCAAGCCCAGAGTTCAGGCCCCACGACCTGACCACCTGCCCCCAAAAAAAGAAGAGTGTGCTTTAGAATGCACTGAAATCTGCGGCAGACACTGGGGTGGAGGGGAGTATTGAAGTCACCTGTCAGGATTTACAAGTATTTGAGAGCGTTGGCACCCACCCCTGGGTGTCTAGACAGGGCAAGGACCTGAGTAAGGAGATCTCCAGTTTTTAAAGTTGGATCATCTGGGCTTGAGGAACACCTGAGAACACTCCATTTGTGTGGTTAGCTTTATTCGGTAATGTAACCCAATCCTTGAATGGCAGTAGCTTAGAATAAATTTCTCATATCAAATATAACCAATTGGATTAGCTTGCTTCTTTCTACTTTACAAATGAACCCTAATTAATGCTCTCACAGATTCCTCCCACGTGATCATTTCTGTGCTCTATTGAATCAGGAGAGGCATTGACATCTTTGTACTGTTGCAAACAGAGAGTTAGAGTAGAGAGAATTATGCCCAGCCACTTCTACCAAATCTTTCAGTGACCCTCAGAAATGCATCTGAGCAGCACTGTCAGCAGATGGAGGCTGCAGGAGCAAAAGCTGGGGCAGCCCAGTCTCTTACTTCTGCTTCCCCTGTAGGTTTTAGTTATGACTTGTATTACTGTGGGAGGAGAGCTGTTATCCTGCATACAGTAATAAGTAGCAAAATCTTCAGGCTGCAGGTTGCTGATGGTGAGAGTGAACTCTGTTCCAGATCCACTGCCACTGAACCTGGATGGGACACCTGATTCTAAATTAGATGCTTTGGATATCAGCAGTTTGGGAGCT